AAGTTTTAGCTAGTGTCTTGCATTTTAAAGTTTTAGCTAGTGTCTTGATAACTTAAAGTTTTAGCTAGTGTCTTGATAACTTAAGGTTTTAGCTAGTGTCTTGTATTTTAAAAGTTTTAGCTAGTGTCTTGATAACTTAAGGTTTTAGCTAGTGTCTTGATAACTTAAGGTTTTAGCTAGTGTCTGACCCAATAGCTTCAGTTTTCACCTGTTAGCTTTTAGCTGTTTCTTGAGTTGAACCATTAGCTCGTTCAGTTTTTAGGGTGACTTTCTTCACCAGTCTACAGAAAACAAAAGAAAAGTGTATTTTAGCTCATTCTGATACATTTAAAGCAACTTATTGTTTCTTGAGGCGCGCTTGAATAAAAAAGACTAAACTTTTAGCATCACGGCTACTTTAAGCATGGCTCTGGCGCTTCAGCCTGTCGTTTCATCTCGTTGGTTGAACGGCAGCTCTCAGATCTCGTCCCTGACTCGAGCAGCCGCAGCAGGAAACAAAAATCACTTCCAGGACCTGAAACGTCACCTGGGCTCGGCCCCGCAGGTGCTTTACTCTGAAGGCGCAGACCGGAAGCGGCAGCGCTAGCCGCGGGTAGCTTCACGCGCTGTGCTAGCTTCACGCATGGCCACGAGCAGCGAGGCTCCGACCAAAGTGCACCCGAGATACGGATGCTCGCCTCCGGCGTTACAGCAGACTTTGACCCCCTCCCTCCCTGCGTGCACCCCCCCCCCTCCCCGCGAGGCAACAACGGCCGAACAACAGCCCCGGACGTGCACGCGGCTGCTAAGCCGTGCACGTAAAGTTAAAAAAGCCCATTCGGGCGATAATTTGCGTGAATGAGGAAGAGGCGCGCGCGCTGAATTCCACCGCTTGGATGCGCATCAAACTAGGAAGCACCGCGGGGGAGGAGGAGGGGGAGAAAAGAGAGAAAACAGGGAGGAAGAGTCGACCCCCCCCCCCCCCCCTGGAAGTTTACTCCGACACAAGTTGCCCGTTGCCCGGAGCGAGCAACAGGTCGGCCGACGCAGCGATGGAGACGAGACTCACCGAGGACTTTGTTGGGTTCGGGCTGCTGGCGCCGAGACATGGTGGCGAGGAGGAGGAGGAGGAGGATGAGGGGATGAAGTGAAAACAAAAAAGGAGAAGAGGAAGAAGGAGGGAGGAGGAAGGGAGGAAGGAGGCTGCGAACTCGCTCCGAAGAGGAGAGGAATCAAAATGGCGTTTCCGAAGGGATGTTCAAAGTTGGACAAACTTTACTCCGGTTCTCCTCCTCCTCTCTCCTCCCTCCTCCTCCTCCTCTTCCTCTCCCGGAGGACAGAAACAGGACGCAGTTCGGTGAGGAGCGGGGCGGCTGGGCTCGGTCCGGTCCGGGCTGGGGGTTCGGAGCCCCGGTGTGTCTCTCGGCGTGTCTCCGTGTCTCTGAGGCTGAGGAGCTCATCACGTGTTTGTCTCAGTCTCCAGGGGGACGTGGCCTCCAAGCATCTCTGCCTTCACGCACGTTACCGGATCACCTCCTCCTCCTCCTCCTCCCGGTACCGAACCAGCACCAGCTGTGATGCAACTACACCTACCGCTCGACCTTTACCCCCAAAAACCACCGATATCCCCACAAATCATATTCCTGACGCTGTTTACGCTCCTTACGTAGTTTACGTAACATACTTCAGCGTTAAACGTCAAAACAAACACTTTTTACACAACTTTGCCCATCATTCCGTCAACGTTTCACCATAAAAACTCCAAATAAAGTGATTTGTTTACCTCCACTCGTCCAGAAAGTCACATTTTTGTCCTCCCGCCGCGTTAATGTTCACCTCGGAGCCGCGACGAGCTTTTATTTCATCTGCGGCGACTTTAAGGCGTTAAACAGATAAGAACCCATCCTGCCACACTCAGAAGTTAGAGCGGCAGCAACTCTCGCGAGACTTGGCGGGGGACCTGAGCGCCGCGGGCTGGGGGCGGTGAGATATCGCGAGACTTGGAGGAGACTCCAACCGTCAGCTTGTTTCCAGGGAGGTCATTTTTACAGCTTTACTTTCCACGGAAAAAAGAAAAACTAAGGAATATTCAAACATTTCAGCCGAGAAACTCTTTCAGGACACTTTTATGGTTTTTATTCAGTTTTGGGGAAAAATAGCTATTTTATTTCATCTAATTTGCATTTTTTAAACAGAATTAATGCCTTTAAAAACTGGTTTTACTCTTTTTTTTTTACAGCAAAATAAAACATAAATGTTTCAAACAAATGTGTTAGTTTTAGCAGAGGTTTTGTTTACCTTTTATATCATAAATGAGCAATTGTAGTTTGAATTTTTGTTGTTCAAAACATTAATGTTTAATAAAACCAATGTTCCAGTTTCATCAAACTGTAAAATACAACATTACTTTGGTGTTAAACAATAAAAGTCTAATTTTCACAATTCAACAGTTCAATAAAAGTCTAATTTTCACATAAATGTAATTTATAAGAATAAATTGTGGTGTAAAATTTAAAAAAGTAGTTTTTTGTCACAGTAAAGCGAAACAAAAAGTAGATTTTTTTTCTCGTAAATTTTAATTTTAAAGAAAAATAACACCAGTTTTGACATTTTTAAACATAAAGCTCAAAGAGACATTTAAAAAACGTCTAATTAAAATGTGTGTCGACTGCAGCATGGTGGATCAGTTGGTAGAGCTGTTGCCTCTCAGCAAGGCCGCTGGTTCGAATCTTGGCTGGGAGGCCAGGTGAATGTTTAAAATGGCGGCCTGTGAAGAATGACCCTGTGGGCTTCCGTCCGCAACTGTGACATCATCCTTTAGACTCCAGGTGACGGTTAGCGCCGTGGCTTCGATGCGTTTGTGGAGGATCTTTCTTTGCTCGTGACCTCCAGTTGTTCGAGTCCAGTCCCAGAATAATCTGCACAATAAAACACCAAACCCCGACGCTCTCCTGTCTTTTCGCCTGCGTGTTTCACGGGTCTTGACTCCTCCCTCTTCGGGCTGAAGCAGCAAATCGTCTCGTCGGTCGGTGCGGGGGAGCGGAGCTGGAGTTGTGGACTCCATCTGATTTCTGTAAAAATCAATTGAACTGTACGGGCTCCCGCACCGCTGGTCCTCATCAGAGTGAACCTGTAGCGTGTTGGACTTATCATGATGTCATCACTCCTTATATGGTCGTGCAGCTTCCATTTAACGTATTCCTGCCACTCCAAAGGCTCTGAGTATTTAAACAAAGTTATTTTTAAAATGGTGCTTTAAAAACAGTGGCGCGGCCGTTTACGGTTTGGGATTACGGTGAAGAACCGTCGGCCCAGAACCGTCGGCCCAGAACCGTCGGCCCAGAACCTGATGTTCTCTGGTGTTTAACAACGTTTAAACGGGACCTTTAGTGCCTTTAGGTGCAGGTCTTGTTGTTTTCTGGCCTCGCTGCGGAGATTAAACCAAACCCGGAGCAAACACTGCACTGAAGTGTGCAGAACCGCTGATCCAGACCAGTTTAACGGGTCCGGTCTGGGTCTTTGGAGGGAGCATATTTAATTTAAGTGAGGAGTTTGGTGTTTTAAACCCATCCTGCCACTTGTTGACCATCCTCTGGCGCTGCTCGCAGGGCCACGAAGGTGCTCCGGGTATAAATAGCCGATGTGCGGCGGTGAAGCTGCAGACTAAATTTAAACCTCCTCTTTGTTAAATTTAGTGCGAGCGGCTCGACTTTTCACTCGCTGCATGTCTGGTTGCTCTCCCACATTCCTGACAGCCCTCCATCTCCAGATACAGACCCCTCCCCCTCCTCCTCCTCCCATCATCCCCTGCTGGAGAGAGGAGCACACAGGCATCTCTCCTCCCATCACACCCCCCCCCCCCCCCCGCAGGCGGCTGCAGCAGAGCAGGAAGAGCCTCTCCGCCTGTCTCGGGCTGGTTCGGCCTGTTGCTGATGAAGGATTTGGGTGTTTCCTGCAGGCTCCTTTCTCTGCAGCTCTCTCTGAGCTCAGCTCTGATTCAGATGGAAATCATGTCGGGCCTCGTTTCCCCTCCAGCAGACTCCCGTCCCAGAACCACAGCTGGGTTTATTACGCAAAAACAGAGATGCCTTTTACCAAACAGCAGTCAGTTTCAGAAGGAAACTCCCTCTTTAACTTTAAAAAAGATGAACTCCAAAGTTTAAACAGCAGCGAACCAGCAGAGACTCTGCTTCACTTTGGTTCTCAGCCTCGACGTCCAGCCGTCTGAGGAGCTTCTGCACGACGAGTCGGTGAAGAATGAGAGCTGCAGCGTTCCTGCTGAGGCAGCAACATTTCCTGTGGGACTCAGAAACTCTTCAGGAACTCGGTTCCACCGGAGGAAACGGGCCTGAACGAAGCATCAGCTTCTTGCTAAATGATGCCGCTGGTTCCGAACAGATGATTCTCAGAATCTTCCTTTAATTAAAAACTGCAGCGTTAAAATAATCTGAGCATCTGTCTGATCTAAATATCTTCAGCTCTCTGCTGAAAAGAGGAACACGAGTCAAAATGAAGCTGACTCAAGTTAAAATGTCAGAATAATCATAAAGCTCAGAGTTTTTGTTCTTCAGAGTCAGATCACTCCACGAGTCTGCTCGAGACAACGTGGACACTCTGAGGACAGACGACGGAGGACCACGAATCGTAAAGACTGGAAGTTGTAAAAAATGCATATTGAATAAATCACAGAGAGCCGAGACCTTCAAACTGGACCTTTTTTTTTAACAACAAGTGCCTTTAGTTCTGTGTTCTGGTCCAAAACTGTAGCAGGAGTTCAGGCTCAGTTTGATATCAGTGAAACATCAAGACCATCAAGGCATTCTGGAGTTAAATGTTCTGCTCGGTGTCAGAGGGCTCGGTCTGAGTCGCAGCTCATGGTCCTCCAACAGGATAATGACCCCAAACACAACTAAAAACACCCCGGACCGGATCAGAACCAAACACTGGACTGTTCCAATGTGTCCCTCTGAGCCACAGGTTGACCAGCACATCCATGGACAGGTGGACCAGCACACCTGTGAACAGGTGCTGAAGAGTCAGAGTTGTACAAAAATCACGGGACGGACTCAATATCTATAAAGTTTTTTTAATATTATTATTTTTATCAAAAAAAATTATTAAGTTAATGTGAAAAAAAAATTCAAGGTCAGAGTGATTTTTTAAATCTAATTAACCTGAATCAAAGATCAAAATCAACAACTGATTTTCATTTGTTGATTTTTACTTTTTTTATTATTCCTTTTTTCAGTGTCCAGTTATTTCAGGGAACTTTGTGAGATTTTAATCCTTTAAAATATGCTAAATATCTGCACCTGTACATGTGTAGGTCCTGAAACTGGACCACAGAACTCTCAGAAGCTCTGTGGTCCAGTTCAATGTTCTGTCATCTTGAGAAGCTACAGAACATTTAATGGGCCAAGTGATGAAGATGGTCCCTGTAAACAGTCGAGTCCCCAAAACCTCGGGTTTATAAAAGAGTGATGTCCCCACAACCCTTCAATACAAACACACACACACACACACACACACACACACACAGAGCGGGTAAAGCAGATAACGTCATTACATCACTAATCCAATCAGAGCTTTTCACTTCAAGCGGCCACTTCTCAGTTCAAATTAATCTGCTGAGGACGGACAGGCAGCGTTTACAGACCGTTCACTTCGGATCAGAACGTGACGACAGCTCCTCTGATAAAACTTCCACTGTTATCAGGCCCAGTGGAGGCAAACAGGATGAACACACGCGTGCACGACCTGTTCCCAGATCCAGTGACATCATGAACACACCACATGAACCGTCTTCACGATCACGGCTTAACCTGGAGATTTTTACTACAAAAAGCTGAGAGTCTGATGATGTCACTAATGTTCTTCTTCTCCTGCAGTCTTCAGGCTGTCAGTCTTCTTCTGCTCACTGTGTCTCTCGGCTGCAGGACTGACGGTTTTCTCTCAGACTTCCATTGACTTCCATCGTATCTGAGCTTCAAACAGGAAGTGGAGGCTCTGTTTAACTTCACCTCCATCAAGCCCTGCAGAAGCATCAAACAGAATCTGTGGTACCATCAGAACCTCCTGCTGCTCTCGGGTCAAGAAGCTCTTTGATCCGACTTCTATTTTTCACACAGACTTTGTCTGAGACTTCCTTTTACGCTGCATTTCTGCCTGAAGTGCTGCTGAAAGCCCCTCCCCTTTCTGATCCAAAAAGAGGTGGGAAGAATCACCATGACAACCAGCGACTCAGCAGATT